AATAATTCAAATGGCGTCATCTGTCAACAACTTTACTCCTATGTTTATCCATTTCGCTTCCTCCAATGATATGAAAGTACCACGAATAAGTGAAATGAAGGACGATAGCAATGAAAAATCGAACGGAATCGAACGGCACCTTATGTGATTTATTCAAAAAAAAAAACCATTTGCACTTTCATTATTATGCTATGCATTTTAATTCTATCCATGTGAACTTTAGTTTATAAATCTCAAAATTTTTTATACCATAATTTCCTTCACATATTTATTCCTCTAAAAAAGGGGAAAAACTTATATTATACTAATTAAATTTTGAGTTAAAGAACTCAATAAGCATGAAATGTTAGCTCCTTTGCATTTTCTATTTCTTCCATCAAAGAATGTGCGGAAATCCTTTATCATTGACTCGCTACAATAACATTTGAGTTTCACAGTAACAAGCCAATGATATTTTTGATTCAAAAAATAAAATAAGATAAAATGGCATATTATACCGATCGATCGAATTTTAAAAAATAAAAATGGATCAAAAAGTTTTCTCGAATGATGATCATTTATTTGCCGAAATTCTGTGGAAAAAAGGAACATTTTTTTTATAATAAAATTGAGTCATAAAATTGAGAAAAATAATATTAAAATATTTCTCTGATTGCTAATGTTTATCATTTAATTATGCAATCTTTTGATATTATAACTGTTTTCATGCAAAATTATCCTTATTCTCTCCTGCACTCTTCAATTTAGAACATGCCTTATAAAAATTACATAAAATTTGTGTGAATAAAATATATTTTATTGATAGCGAAATTGATGAATAAAATTTAGTGATATGAAATGAAGTGGTAGAACAAAGTTATGCAAATGTTGAGAAAAATGAATGATTAAAGGAATCGATGGGAAAGGAAAATAAAATTGAAATGATATATGTATGGATTTCCACGAAAAACCTGAAATTTCAATCTTTTTTCTTTTTTTTTTAAATTTTAATACCAATTATAAACTCTACACTCACCGCCCGATCATTTTTGGCAATATTATTTGTTGAATTGAAGTGCAGTGCAAAAAAAAAGGATCGGAAATGTAAGATGATTGTTGGACTTTGAATTGCATTAACTTCTAGTTACCAATAAACAATTATTAATTCCAGAATAATCTTGAGATTTCAAAACTTCATTGCTGGATGAATCTTTTGCAAAGATAACGACCTATTTACTTTAAATTTTCATTCATTTCTTAAATAAAAAAAAAAAAACCACATAGAAGTGTAAAGTCGATAAATTTAAAGCACATCCATTCTTATAAACCCAAGAAATCAACTAATCACGATCACCTGACGACCTGAATACACTGACCGATTATATTTGGCAATAAAATGCACACTCTCACCATGAAAAATTACAGCCATTTGAGGTCATTCAGCCAAATGCTGACATTATTACCAAAACTTTTCTAAGGAATTGCTTAATAATAAATGCAAGTTTGTTGTCATCAATTTTATTTACCATCCACCTCTCGAGGTTTTTTTCTAAGGTACTGATCCTTTCTTCGCCTTTCTTTAGATCTACCTCTCCCACTATATTCTGTATAAAGAGGGAAAAAATAACTCCACTACCAATGGGTATGTAAACACGAATAATGGTGAACATTTATTTTATGATGATATAGAGAGCAACATAATTTAAGTTTCAAATTTTTAAATTCCAAACTAAAAAAGTGACAAGTACAGCTGAAAATAAAAGCAAAATTAATTCGTATAAATTCATTAATCTCTGTTCATCAAATTCTGAAAAAGAAGAAAATCGACCAACTGCAACTTATTCCATATATAGTAGTAAAAAGAGGAATCCAAACTGAAATTAAATTTTTAAATCAATTATAAAAAAAACAGCAACAACAATGACTTGGCCGCCTACTACAACAAGTACATCAGGACAACATTAAATTGAAAGAAAATATGAACATTACACTACGAACGTAAAAACAGAACAAACCATGCACTTTTGTGAATGTCAAAGATGATGTGAGAATATAAAAATTACGCTCAGACAAAAGTTAATGAATAAGTATGGGAAATTCATAGGTAAATAATGAATATAGATTACTGTTGTGGAATAGTAAGAATTAAGACAAAAAAACAGAAACTTAGAAAAAATACCATTCTGATGGAATTTCACTGATGGTAAAAAGAGGTTAAACAAATGTTAAATATTATTTTCAGCCAAGACATTGCATCTAATAATTTAAATCAACTGCAGATAGGTTGAATTTAGAAAATTCAATGAATATTAAAAGTAGCATTTGAGGTGCGCGCAACAATAAAAAGATTACAATTAAAAGATTTTGTTCCATTTTTCAAAAAAAGAAATGTAAAAAACAGCTCATTCAGCACCAACTGCTGCGGTAGAGTCGACTTCTGTCGTTTCAGTCTAAAACTAAGAAAGTAGATAGATTTTAATCTTAAAATTCGAGAAAAAAAATCCGAAAAGAAATGAAGCTCAAATTACAATCCAGTAAAATTTCTGAATAGGAAGAGCTTTGCACTTCTCAAAAATCTTAATCTGTGTTAAACTATGTTCAAAAGTTGGAAAGCGCAAGGGCAAACAGTAGCTGAAAATATCTAGCTTCCCAAAACAATCCCTAGTATTATTAGAAGAGAAATAGCTCTTTTTTATGATCACCTTCATAAGAAATTTAAAAAAGCTGATCTAAAAAACCTCGCCATAGCATGCCGAGGTGTAAGGCGAGGTTTATATATTTATGCAAACTCAATTCATTTCCTTTTAATTGTTTTCTAATTTACTGTATTTGCTAATCTAGGCCATTCTTCATACAGCATAATTTTGCTATAAATTCATAAAAAATGAATTTTATTTAATCATAAGAAATGAAATTTTCAACCTCCTCTGTATCACTCTTCTTTTTCTTTAGTTCCGGCGTGACGGCGTCATTGCTCGTTTCTGAATCGTCACCATTCTTTTCACCGTCTTCATTTGCACCAGATGCACGCTTGCGATTCTGAAAGTCCGATTCAAATCAAAAAATAATTAAAAACAAATTAGCAGGAAAAAGCATTTGGTCACTAAACAAATATTTTCTTTTAGTTTCTACCGAAAAATTAAAAAAGACAACAGATGAAAGCATGTTCCAACAATCATAAGTTGAACAGGTGTTTGATACTTTCAATACATTTTAGTTGCTCCATTTTATCGCATAAAAAAAGATAATGAAAGAACACAACGTTCATATTTGTTTTCCCGCTAATCGACGTTTCCTTTCTTACTACTCAAATCGGTGAGAAACAGAAGAATGGAAAAATTCCAAGGTTAGTCAAAATTTGTAAAGAATTTTTTTTCCTTCGTACCAAAAATTTTGAAATATTTGAAAAAAAAAGAACATTTCTCGTGTTGGCAGTAATTGCGTTTCCAATATGTTCCTCGCCATTCTTTGCTTTCTTATGGCTATCAGTCATTACTGAACGTTCGTTACCGTCAACACTGCCATTTTTCTTCTCTTCGTCACCTGATGCGGCTGACGATCCCGAATTAGTACGCGATCGGCTACAAATCATCAAAATTAACATATCCTAGACCAAAATTTTCTTTTGCCTAAAGTGGCAGCACATGGCAAATTTTCTAACCTGATGAGAAATATAACTGAAGCCATTAAAATATCAACCAGTAGATCAACAAATAAAGCTTCTAAGTAAATGCCATTAAATATATGACTTGTATCTTTTCTATAGAAAAATCAACATGATAATCCTAAAACTGGCATCGCTAGTGTAGAAAATCCAATTTGAGTAGTTCTACGTAGAATTGCCAAAAGACAGAAATTTATATACATATATTACAATTTTGTCAATTATATTCGACATCTTAGAACAATGAAAGTATGAGACAAAGGATTCCTAAAATCCAGAGCAATTCCCAGTATTATTAGTAGAGAGAAACTCAAGAAATGAGAATGATCATTTCTATGTAGTTCTCATATACGGCAAAAACCAAAATTCAACCAATCTGCACATTATCCATAAAATAGAAGCTAAAATTCATAACCAATAAATTCAATACGAAACATTATATAACAAAAGTTTGAAATTAATAATTTCTAACTAAACAAACCTTCTTTCTTCAGATGGGCTTCGTTCCGTTTCTTTTGTGGTTTCCGAATTCTTGCTCCCTGCTACTGCCTGCTTTTCTTCGACGGGAGCAACCTGGAAGATGGCCAAACGTAAGGTTGACTGATGAATTCTGGATATGTGCGTGTGTCCGTATCCTTCAGTAAGTGCAGACGGACGCACTTCGCGTGCAGTTGAAGAATAAATAAAAATGCATTGCAAGAGCGGGACGCACAGTGATAATGAATAATGCTACACACCTGCACAGTTTGCCCATCCACTTCTTTGCCACTCATTTTCTCAAGTGCTTTTGTTGCGCTTTCACGAGAGGTATACCCAATGAGACTGAAAATAATCTTTCTACTTGCATATAATTATATTATAAACAAGAATTCTCGTAATCACTGGATTAATGTTTCAGCAAATTTATACCAGTTACCAAGAACGAATACAAATAAAACTTAGATTTCAGGATTTTGATATCATCATATAAGGATTTCTCTGAAAAACCATCAAAAGATTTCTAATCCCAACTTTCTATCATCATGCTGCAAAATTCGAGCTAATCTAATATTCATTACCGAAACCAGTAAAAAGAGGTACTGAACTTACAAACCCCATGTAATAAGTCTTGAATTTCCGTGTGATATCTACAGTCAAAAACACTCTTACGTCATTATGAAACCTCTGATAAAATCACAGAGCGTTACAAACACATGTAATTAGTCTATATGTGGTAAAATTTCAAAACACACAAGAATGATTGTGACATAGGCATACAGAAACAAAGCGATACAGCCAAGTGCATTTTGATTTGTAACCGTTATGTTATGTAAACAATGCACTTTCATCTTTCCTTGTCAGTTTAATACAAAAATTCGACTAACTATACTGTTTATATCATTCATCGATTCACATTAAAGTTACTTCAGAAAGCAACTAAACTAAAAATATATAATTCAGTTGTTTGAAGATATACGAAGCATTTCCTAAAGTTCAAAACAATAAAACTAAAGTAAATAATTCCCGCTTGATTTCCTCTGCCAAAATGAAGAAAACAAAATCAAATTAGAAATTCGTAACTACTGATAATGACACTATCACTACATAAAGCTGTTTATTTCAAGTATCATTACTGAAAATGGGGAAAAATCGATGGAAGACAGAGTAGACATATATGGTCATTTAAAATGAACGGCCTAAATACAAGTGAGAGCAATGATACGTCAATCCTTCAGAAATGAATATTAAAAGGTCGGAGGAAGAAGGGAGATGCAAACGGGCAACGTCCTCAATATATTTCTTCAAATCAATCCACAGCCCCCTCCTTTCAACCGTTATTTTCTTGCTTTCTTTTTCTTTCTCTGGATTTTTTAAAAGATGAAACCATGACAGAATCATTCAATCCATCCACCCAAAGCAATGCCAGACAACGAAAAATAAACGGTTTGCAAACATGCAAGTAGATGAATATACATTTTACTTCTTCGCGAAATTATGCACATGTGGTTGTAGATGAAGGAAATGTAGCAAAAATTGAACTGGAAGATGAAAATAAAGAAAGAAGTAAGGATAAACGAATCAAAAAAGACTACGTAGTCGAATTTTTAATTCAAAAACATGCTTTTGCAATTTTTGCAACGTAAAAAGCAAATTTTTTAGGGGAGTACCAATAACAACTAAAATTGTTAACAGTTAATTCAAACTAGTCGAAAGCTGTTTAAAAACACATGCCATGGAATGACCGAAAATTTTTATTTGTGTGAACATCTAACTTGAGAGAAATAAAGTATCACTGATAATCGAACACAATTCCTATAGAAATAAGTAAATCATACCAAATAATGAAAGGATAGCTTCAGAAAATGAGAACCAATGAACCGGATGTTTCTACAATTTCGTTATCATTTTTACTAGAATTAGAAGTGTTTAAATAAGGGTGAGTGTATCCAGCCGGAAATAGTTTCGAACTAAAATATACATAGTTAATTCCAACTGAAAAATTAAAAAAATAAAAGAAAATACCAAAATGATTTTCACTTTCAATAAAAATTGAGACACCACAAAAAATATATATCAGGAATAAGAAACATTTGAAATATCGCAACATAAAATATTTGTGAAACGTCACAGTTTAAAATAAACAATAGATAAAATCAAACTTATCAGTTTTCCGCGCTTTAATATGAAAAACTTGGGTTTTTAAATGAATTTTCATCTAACTTTTATGCTGATATATCAATGTGCTTAAAAAAAATAAAACAGTTAATAACTCGCAATCTTATTAAATTCCACACTTCTCGAAAAATTGTAACTCATTATCATCTAACCACCTCTTTTTCGAATTGATCTGTTCAATGAATCAAGACTAACAATTATTTGTAGTTCTGTTACCACCGATAAAAGAAATTATTTCATATCATACTTGAATTACTTTCATGACAATTTTCCCCCACTGTTTTAAGCACTGCCATACGAATTCGTTAATGTCTAAAAAACCTTAGAGAAACTCATGTTTAGGTGCCGTCACTAGAAAGGATGTATACGCGAAATAATGTACAAATCAATAAAGAAAGGGAAATTTAATTTTTCGTCATTTCCTTTCCAGTGCATTTCCTTCATCTGCTACTACGCTATACTCAGTCAATCTATCATTTGTACAATCTACGATTAACAATCTTCAACTAAAATATTTTAATGCCTAAAGTGATTGTTAAAAAAAACACATGGATGAGCAAAAAAACTGTCATTCAAAAAATTTCGATAAAGAAAAAAGAACAACAAATAAGTATGTATTTCATGGGAAAACCTGTTGTAAAATAAAAAGTGGAAGTGAAGGAACGTGGGATTAACAGAGAGAATGAAGAGTGTAAAGAAACAATTTTCGCCAGTATGTTACTATCAACAATAATGTAAACGGTATCGGTATATTTCGACACGCAGTACTAGCTGCCACAAACGTACCCAGTGAAAAGATATGGAAAGGGACGATGGGACAGATGGGTTTTGTTCGATGTGAAAATATGCTCATCGGATGGTAGGATGTAGCACTAGCAAGATATGACTGTTACTGCTGGCCGTCGGCCTTTCTGGAGCATCCCACTTCTTCTCTTCTTCTCATATTCATCCCTTCGTGCATGCATTCTAGAACTTACTCTTCCCAATTTTTCTATCAAAAAGAACTTTTCTTTCTTGCTGCAAAATTGCGGCAGCAGAGTGAAAAAGAAACGGGAACTTAAAGAAGAGAAGGATTTATGAGGATAACAATAGGTGGAGCATGGTGCCAAGAGTTTGTTAACTTCAAGCACTGTAATGCCACCTATGAAAGAAGAAAGAAGATGAGGAAAAACTTTCGCGATAAACATTGCTTAATAAAATATATGAGTGTGGCTCTTAAGCTATTTTGTATCTTGCGACCTACAGCTTTATGAGTTCTCACCTTCCATAACTCTCTGCTGATGTAACATTACGAAAAGAGACACAGGTCGCCATTGAAAAGGAAAGAAAAGCAAGATCCGTAAGATAGAAAAAATGAAGCCATCAGGAAGACGAAAAGCGTAGGGATTGACAACGTCGCGCGGCAACGGAAGAATGGGATGACAAGAAGTCGCACTTTAATAGTAATTTTAAAAACAAATCGAAGCGAACAACGCTAGATGGTGAATGAATGTTAATGGTTTGGGCGAGGACGGACAAGACGCCCTTGAATCAGAGCCAACTGACACACCCTCCCAAGCACAACCTATTCCATACTTCCTCTTCCGACATCACTCAGCCCGAACCGTTCACGTCTCTTAGGAAATCCACCCAACCCATAGCCAAGAATCTACTCTTTAAATACCCCTCCAACAAGTCCACCTCTCACTCACTCTCACTTCCTCCGTTCTTCCCTCCTATTCTCCTCCTTTCCATTCTCATTCCTTACACCACCATCCTCCCCCTCCTCCTTCTCCTCTCACCCACGCTTCTATAACCGCTTAACCAGTTCCCTCTTCGTTTTATTCAATTTTCCACGAGAAAGAAATCCACCCACATGCGATGCGCATACGTCCTTTGTCTTCCTCTAAGTCTTTCCTCACTTCCAAACATCTCGTCACGATGATCCATGTCATCTTCAACGACACTTCCGTCCTGAATCACTCAAGCACAATGACAGAATCACTACTAATAACTCTCTAAATAGTGTGACATTATCTCAAATAACTCTTTCGTTGTGAAGAAATGACGAAACCGTTGCTTTAAGCATATACTTCACATAGAGTAACGCTTCAACCAGCTGTCACATTAACCAAGGGAGACATATAATCTTAATACTTCTCTTTAACATAATTCACAAATGAGACAGTCATGTCTCTTTTAAAAAAAAGTATCGTTGTGAATAAGGCACTGAAAGCCTAACTAAATGTCCAGATACTGCACTAAATTACTAAATAAGTCAAAGTATTGTTTCAACTAGCTATCAATGATAGCAATTGTATTAGAAGTACTGAGAGAAAATGATAACATCGTTTAAGTAAAGCAAAACTACAAAAGCACAGCATTCAATGCCCGACAATTGCAATTATGCAACCGGCCAACCACTTCACTTTCACTGTACATATTATGAACAGATAATTTTGCTTGTGTATTCGAGTCAGTCACAATCTTAAAAAGGCATTGTTTTGCTAAATATTATCACGAACTATTGTCAATAGTTCGGTCACTAATGTTCAAGAAGGAATAAAAGAACTTTGAATGAATACTACATACAGAAAACCATTTCATGTGGTCAAACAATTTTTTTTCTCCTCGGTTATTTTCAGCTCTAGATTAATTTAGCGTTAATGTAAAGAAGCACTCAAACATCACACTTGCTACTCTCGGTTTCAACAACTCTCTACAATATTATTTAAGCGAGTACTCAGTTGATTTTACCAACATATACCATAACTATTTTTTTCCATAAGAGTGACACTGCACTTCAACCGATCGAGATAAAATGGTTATCATCTACTTATTGCCTTTTCTATCTCTATCGATGCCCATCGGACATAATTCAAATTAATTCAGAGATCATATTCGGCCGTCTTGCTAATCTTTGACAAAAATTCAATTTCAAATAATGCATGCTAGGCAGGTGGTTTCCCTTTTAAGTATTAAAGGCATTAGGGTGCGCTAGTCACGATATCAGACGTATCAGATAAGCAATAGAATTTTTCATCTTCGTCAATTACTCATTTAGTATTTTTGCTGATGCTTTTAATTTGGCGGTAGTTACGAAAAAAAGAAACTCTAACATCCATATAGATGACTGTTCTCCTGAGTGGAAAAGGATTGATTTCGGAAATCGTTTTTAAGTATATCGGCTCGATAAAATTTATTATCAAGTAACATTTGAACAATTACATGCTTAATTATTTATATTATATTTAGATCTAGTGCTTTGCAAATGATTCTAATCATATTATCCTCCATTCTATATGTACTACTTCTAATAGTTTTTTGAATTCTGACTATTGTCCAGGGATTCCTTCCAGTCAATGACTGTTATATCAGCAATGATATAGCATTTTTGAAAGTAGATATGCTAAAGTTGTTAGATGAATGATAAATTATAGTCGCTTTAAATATTTTCCCGCGGTTTGTTTCAGTTAAATGATTTGTCAATTTGTCAATTACAGAAAATATTCTTACATGAAAGATTCCTAAAGTTTAAGTTTAAGAGGTAACTGTCCTCAAATACACGTTTTACTACACAGTGAACCACACATGCACATAGGTGAGAGAGATATGAAATATGGTCATCATTCTTATTTCATACTTTTCATTTACCCGTGTGTGCATGTTTGATTTTCCAATGTTGAATAAAGCTACCAAAACATTCAAATACTCAATGATCCATCATAATTATTAGAGTATGACACAAGCCAATGAATCTTCGTAACAATGGAAGTAGACTTACCACTCAAGAACCTTACTCAGAAACAAAACCAATCAATCGATTACCAAACATTAAAATGCCACATACATACACACGCACACATATGTATACGTGCATGTATGTGGCATATGGCATGGAATTAGGGGTAAACTACTCCGTTTTAAAAACAACTAGCTATTGATTATATTATTTGCTATGTCTATACTTTTTTCCAAGACCTTAAGACCTCCTAAAAGGATAAATCATTAACATCTAAAAAAATGCAACTCGATAAACTATACTGATCCCTATCTCTTCCAGTTCCGCGCTGCAAAAAAAGAATTGGACGAAAAACCATTATGCTTTTATGGTGAACAAGAAAGCCTTTGCAGAAGAAAATCAAGTTATAAAAAAAGTTGCAGATAAAAATGATTACATTGAGCTGGTCTTACACAACTGATCTTAATTATAAATTTGATAAAATAGATATGTAAGCATACTAATGAATTTTATTCAGACAATCTTTCACATCCATTTGCTCTTTAAATTCAAGCCTTGGCTTTTTCTTAATAACATTTATGAATAAAATGTCAATGTATGGAATCGCAAACATGCTTACGCTTGTGAGAAAAATACAGTGACCAGCAATTATTAAATGTTAAATTATAGACTGGCAACATTACGAAGAAATCCTCATGTAATGCAAATTATCCCTTAATCTTTTATACTAGCTTCGCTCATGTTGCATGGCAATTTTCAAAAGGAAAACGGAGAATAACAATTATTCAAACATACCAAGTATTGTCATCGCGCATTTCGAAATCTGTCAAATCACCATATTTCTTAGCAATATGTTTTAAACGCTGAAAACAAATTCATTGAAACAATGGATAAGTTCATAAAAATTTTTAAGAAGAAATCTTCAAAAAGAAACTAGAAAAAATCAAAAAAGAACCATCGAAATCCAGAATCAACAGTAATGCGGCGTACCGCTATTTTATAGAATATATTTCGCGGGCTCAACAATCCAAATGAATGGTTACGGGCGGTGGCTGCGCGATGCAAATGCGGAACGGGGCTGCGCGATGCAAATCCGGAACGAGTTGTCTGAACAGAACGCATCATGTGATGAGGCGGTTCGTAGTCCGTCGACTGAATGTATGCACGAACGTCTCGCCATGGACAATACGCAAGATTTGGATATGGTTGGATGAACCAGACGATTTGAGTGCGCAATGAGCATACGAACGAACGAACGAACGAATGGATGGATTGTATGAATGAACGTGAACGAACGGTAGTTTGTAATACAACATTCACATTTATGCACCACTCGGATAATGATGTGCTGGTAGCAATGGTGACGCATAAAAACATATCCCATAAAACTTTTGAATCCGAATATTTTTTTCAATACTTAACACAGTGGTACCACACCGTTATACGCTTTCTTTTAAAGCTGGTTAAACTCTCGAAAACTACATTGTTTTGTGCTCTTTGGATATGCAAGTCCTCAAGCAATGCTTTTCAATCCTTAATAGCAGTGGGAAATTATACAACTCACTTAAGCCCAGCTCAAAATTCCGACAATCACGCAAATTCCGAACAGCATCAATTAAGAAGAAAGGGAATTATGCGTCAATGCTGTTAAGAAAAATGAATTCTGTCCAGCTCAATGAGACTTGTGATACATGAAAGTTCCAACTCAAATTGAACGATGCAAGGAATGACAAAACCTAGAAATAAAATACTAACTGAACCTTCTCAAATTTGCCTTTATTGTCGAAACCGCGAACAATGATGCTACATGTATTTGCTCCACCACGATCTGCACTTCCTTCCTATAAATTTGCATAAATTTCTGGTCATTTTAGAAGAAATTATTTAACCAGATGCAGTGCTGCAAAACTAGTAAATTTTGCAGCAATGGAAATTAGACAAACCATTGACAATTTTTAGTACTGATGCTTGGATGCAAATATATTAAATAAAGTCTACACATATGAACCCAAAAACTTCAGCTTTTAAGAATTTCTGTTTAATTCCAAATATCGTTATTTCTTTTATTAAAATGTGCAAAAAATGCAGCCGTTTTTTCAATAGAATGATATTTTTTAAATATTTAAAAACTTCAATTCCTTCAATCCCAATTGCGAAACAAAATTGTTTCATCAATTATACCTTTTCTGAACTGCTCCGATATTTTCGTTCCTTATGTTTATCTTTAGATTTTTTTGCATCTGGACTAGGTGAACGACTCGATGAACTTCTGTCACGCTTCCGTTTTCTATCAGAACCCGATTTTTTAAAATTTTTCTTTGGACTTAGGCTCTGCGACCGCGATGATGAGCGGCGACGATTATCTTCAGGGGATTCACTTTCACTTGACGAATGTCTTCTAAAATTTATTTGCCCAGTCTCAAAGAAATTTTGGATGAAGAGAAAATTACTCCAATAAAGCAAACATGCAAAAGTGAAAAAAAAAACAAAGCTGAAGATATTTTCAAAATCACCCTCGCTTATTTTGCCTACGTTATGAATCACAACAGTGAAAGAATTAAGCTTCTAAGAACCTTTTGATATTTGACAATGATATGGAAAGATTCAAGACCTGCTCGAATGTTATGAAAAGTCCAAAAAATGTTATAAAGATTTTGTATTGCTAGAAATAAACAATGATATATGAATGAAAAAAGGCATCATTCATACCTCTTTTTTCGATCACGACTATGACTTCGTTTTCGATCACGACTCCGACTGCGTCTTCGATCTCGTGAACGTGATCGCTCACGCATCCGTTCTCGGTACATGTCGCGTCCACGCGGACGACTTTTGGCATTCTGCACTATTACCCTAAAATAACACAAAATTGTATAACGTCAGGGAATAAATTCAACTTTAAAGATATCATTCAACTAATCCTTCGGATATACTGATATGTCGAATGATAGAATTCAAGTAAAACATACGGTATCTAGACTTTGCTATCGCATAATCTACTGTACTATAACTTGACTCCATTCTGATTGTCTCAAGTCAATAAAGTGGAAAAAAAAAACCTGTCACCCAGTAACGAACGACCGTTCAAATCATGAACCGCATCTTCCGCATCTCGACGATCCGAAAATTCCACGAAAGCGTAGCCGTTCTTGAGCAGTATTTCCGTTATACGACCGTAACCCCGGAAGAACCGCTCAATATCACGCTCGTGCGCTCGGTAAGACAGTCGTCCAACGTAAACTCGAGATCCCATAATGAACTAAAAAATATAAGGTCAGTTGCTTCATAATGGAAACTAATATGATTCATTAGGTATTGATAAGCAGTCAGAAAGAATTCGCGTGACTTTACGGAGAATCCCGTGAACACAAACATGCTCCACGTCCACTCCTGAGTCATTGCGTCAGACAGCCTACCTACGCACTCATCTATCCTCAAACCATATGTCATCGTAGCACACATGGGCTGCCATAGGGAATGATGAGTCATCGTCGTGTGATGATCATGGACATAGCCGGTGGGATCACGTAGGAGATGGGATCATGTAAATAGTAATGGTGTGTCGCGTCATCAGAACAGAGAGGAGACACATTAACGGCAGGACACATGTTTTCAGCATTTCAACTATGCAAATTAATTCAATTGCTAAGATGATATTATCTTCCGGGTTTCTCCTCAGGAATGAATCTTTTTTGATCCGCTATCATCTATATATCATGGCAGTAAACTATTTAATACTAATAGCATCTGAATCAATCTCTTCAACTACATTTTATAGCTACATGAAAGTACTAAAGCATATTTTTCCTCATAACGCATAATTTTCTAAATGGACAGATCGAAAGTTGGAAAATGCACCCAAAAATCCTGAAGAACACAGGAAAAGATCCGGGTGGGTAACTATGAATTGTCAGAGTGGGATTTCATTTCGCTTCGCATAGTTGTTGTTATGCAACGGCGACGTGGGACACGGTTGATGATCGTGGTTTTCGTTTTTGGCCGTGAAAAATGCTGAAGCAGGTTGTTCGGGAATTCTAGGAGATTTTCTGGGATATAATAAGTTCAACTACATTTTATAGCTACTTGAAAGTCCTAAAGCATGTTTCATACTGCAAGGGAGTTGCATTAATACTGGAAATCTATAGATTTATAGCAGTTATGATCTTAAAAAACTCTTGTATTGATTTTCGTAAGAAAAACTAGGCCATATATGCTGTAGTCGCATGGTTGCTATAGATAAATGGCTACAAATTTAATAGTTTGCTGAAATATTTAAAAAAAGATAACAGTGAATAACATTACAACGTATTAAGATTGCGGCGTATTTTGTTAATTGTTCATTTATAAACTTTTTTAGCCAAGTTATGTGTTTATGCCAGTGATCTGATAACTTATATCGTAATCCTTATTTGAAGCTCTATATGCATTGAAGCTCTATGTATTGTATATTAGTTTATTTAGGAGGCTTTGAAATGACAGCAATAAAATCAGTAGAACTGTGACAGCAAATAATTGGTTTTCAATTAGGCATAATTCATCATATTCCTTTCGCGTAATTTTTGTCTGGCTTGTTATCTATCGAAATTATATGTCTTAATATGATTATCGTTTACCCTTCCATCAACATGTAGTTTACTCATTGATAACTTCGTTTTACTATACCGTTTTACTGCTCTTTCAGCATGCTACAATACATTCTTCATCGCGTTGATGCATTAAGTTTCCATATTGAACAAAATTCTAAGGTTGAAAGCAATTCATATTTTTAGTCTAGGTGTTTGCATGTAAATCGTTATGTATTCATGTTGTCCAATACTTCCAATTTTTTCAGATTACAGGATACTGGATACAGGATGAAATTGGTGCGCTTTTTAATGAAACTGGCACACGAAAGTGTAACAATAGAGTTGAAGAATGGAACACTGGTAACAGGCACCATTGTTGGCGTCGACGTAGCAATGAATACTCATTTACGGACGGTCAAAATGACACTCAAGAATAGAGAACCTGTTTCTCTAGATTCATTATCAATCAGAGGTTAATTTATAGTTTCTTAAATTATATGAAATCATATGCTAAGATGATGGTTATTCACAGTATGAGTACGTTTTAGGAAGTCTTGATTTGAATAATATGTATAGAAATAGTTTTAACTTGGATGCATGTGCTAAAATCTTTTAAAATCGATTTTATTATCATTTCCAAGTAGTTTTTATTCGTATGAGTAAAATGATCTGTGAAGTTATCAAGTGTTCCAGTGAAAATATAAATGTGGTGGCTATTTGAATGTTAACTGCTATTACTTCCTCAATAGATGATCTTCCTCAATAGTTGATCGATCCTTTGTTTTAAAAGCCACTTCAATGTAATAGCTCATGTAGAGCCTGAAACAAGAGTAAAAGGATCTTTTGTGTTATTTTTATGAGGAAATGGGACATACAAGTTGTATTCACTGTCGTCATTATTCTGATGTTTCAGCTAGCCAGATTTTTGAGCTTCACTAACATTGTGATCATTTTGGAAAAGCTTCTGCCTGCTTGAATTTTCAGAGGCATGCGTAGCTATCGGATCGTTCTGATTAGTTCAAAATTATCTAAATAATTGGTTGATTAATAGGTGCAGTTTTAGAGGCTTTTAATAAATATCAAAAAATTATATTTTTTTAGGAAATAATATACGGTATATAATTTTACCTGATACAATTCCTTTGGATACGTTATTGGTTGATGATGAACCACGCAAAAAACCAGTACGTGGAGGACGTGGTAGAGCTGCGCCAGCTCGTGGTGGACGAGGGCGAGGCCGTGGTAGAGGCGGCCCTCGTGGTCGTGGTGGTTTCAGGGGTGGACGATAAATTTCTGCTATAAGTAATATGCATTATTATGTTTTATGTATTGAGTTTTGTGCTTATAGAATAAAATAGAAATTTGTTATTGTCCCCTTTTTTTTTCGATATGACTCCTTATGGCGCAGTTTGCTTGAGCAGTTGAAGATTATTTTATGTTCTTATGTCCCAGACTTTTTAATGATTATTCTGTTAAAACATAATTACCACTCAAATACAATGCTGTAAGCAGAAACTAGGCGTGCAGTTCAGTTATGTTTGTCAATTGAATTATTCCAAAATTTCTTGAATGCTGGAAACCAAAATATGTTTTATTCGTCACATGAAAATTCGTAAATTGAAATTTTCATGTCTATTTTTTGAATTTTGTATTCGTGTTATCTGTTTTTCAGTTTATTTTATAGCATTCTTATCGTTACAATCCACTGTTGTTATTTTTGCGATCTCTATTAAAATTTTCTCCCAGAAAATTGGATGTCAGCATGCTGAAATGGAAGAAATTATATCAAGTATTGTGTATCTCCAGATGACTTGAAATGAACAAGAAAACATCGCCACAAATTAGCCAATTAAGAAAATGAAGAAGATGCAAGAGTGGTTTGGTAACTGATCTTATTAGTCTTTTTGAAATGGTTACTCACAGATGATATGATAATTTTCCAAGTAAATTATCATATCATCTATGTTATTTCGTTTAACGAAATAGTTAATTGGGAAACTGTCTCGTTTAACATTCGTATTTATTTAATTCCGGTGATTAGCTAAAATTTTGATTTTATGAAACAAAAGTTTTGTATTTTTAGCGGTAATGTTATGATGGTTGCAATTTTCTAAGACGTATAACATTATAGTCAAATTTGCAGACAAAAACTTGCGATTTGAATTTATGATTGATTGGTACTACATTTTGTTAGATTTGTACCAAACTTACCTCTGTATACATAAGTTAGCAATCATACGAATATTTTCAAGCTGTTATAAGAAAGTGCCATTAGATGAATCACTATTTTCCCTTCAATTTCATTTACAATACCCATAAGTTATGATGCGACACTAAAAGTGCGCTAAGTTGTTCTACTGAAATAGGATTCTTCTCCGGATAATTGTAGATATTGTTTTTATGATCAAAACTGTGAAAATTAGAGGAGTTGAAAGGTTCGTTAGGGAGTTGAAAACCTGGTATGTATGCAAAAGTCCATGTTTTTTTTTTCTAATTTAATATCATTGTATTAAATAAGAAAAAAAAAACATGAGGTAGTTCATATTTTCCTGATATCGTATTCATTACAGATTTCTAACATGTTTATATTGCTTTCTTTTTTCAGCTATCACTATAATGCTAATGAGTTTTTTTTTTGATAAGATTACAAAATAAATTTATCATAATAGAACTGATAAATAATATAGTAATAGAGGATTGTGTTAGCAAGAGAAAGATGAATTTACATTTAAATCGTAAAAAGATTAAAATGGATTAAAATATGCAATCATCCATTTGTTTATATGTAAGCAGTGTTCAATGTATAAACAAAAATAAGCAAACATGAGAAATATTGAAGGTATGTTGATCGTTTGCTTCACGATTAAGCATTACCACGCCCATTAATAGCATCGATTATACGGCCCACCTCTTCCCAAAATTTAACCACGTCTATCACGTGCTCCATCACTTCAACCATATACTTGGCTAGAAGTTTTTCGTTCTTTGCTGTGGAACATCAATTCATTGGCACATCCAAATTTTGATTACT